GAGGGTCAAAGAAAAAAGTACCATAGAATGACTAACAGTTGTAACCAACAAAAGTACAATCTTTGGTCTAACTGCCTAGTTTTAAACATCCTTCATTTATTTATTCATTAAATCTCTTTATATGTTTAATTTCTGTACAAACATTAAACCTATCAAGCACTTCCCTATTTTTATGTACATCTAGAAATTGAAATCATTAAAAATTTCAAAAGGTTATCACACTTTTTCTAAAATTAATACAAAAAAACATAATTTCTGTTAATATAATAAAATGACTTTATAAACATAAAATACCACCAGCCCATAGTTTTCACCTGGCCACTCCCTCCTGAAATTATAGCAAATATGAAGTCAGCAATGTTTTCTTTTTATCCATCATACGATTTTATTTGTTCTTGGAGCATTCACACTTTATGTGTGAAAACAATACTTCAGGTGATTAATTAGATGAATGCAAGATAGAGTGACATAATTTTCCAGAAATATTTGAGAAAGAAAGCAAAGCTTATTAATATAATCCTAGGTGCCATTTTAAAAATAATATTTGTAACTACATAGCTTTTTAAAAATTGTCTGTGATTAGTGTTTACTAATATTTTTTAGACTAAACCAAAACAATACTTAATTTTATCCTACTCTACCAAAGACTACTTTAAAATATTGTATTGGGTCTAATAACCACCTGCAATATATGAACACTGTCCTCTGTTATTCTCGCAATTTTTGTCCCCCACAGGAAGTAAAGAGATTGTACCTTTCAATTCACCAAATCACACTGAGAAAATTGTCCTCCCTAAAATATCCTTGAAAATATGTTCAGCTAACATTTCCAAGTCAGAGCATACAAGGAGACTAAGATTCTAACTCATTAAATGTATAATGTTAACATTTCAATCTATTGCTAAATGTAAATAACCTTAGCAATCCCAGTTGGACTATTTAATATTAATTTAAAGTATTTTATAATATGTGAGTGTCTCCTCTCATGGGGCTAAGTAGAAAGGTGAACAATTATCTAATAACTTCAATCAATGCACTCAGCCAAACCTGGTAAGTCAGGTCCCTTAACTCTCTCTATTTAAATCTGGTAAATGTCTCTGCAGGAGGTCCACTCAGGTGTGTTTCATCTCTCATAACATTGGGGGAATGGAGAGTCAAGCAATAGCTTATAAAATTAAGCTATTACTGTTGCTGTCTTACAAACTGAATCATTACAGCGAGCCAATATAGATTATCCAAATTTCACCATGTCCTTTTTGCTTTTCTTAATAGGTAGATGGAAGAGAAAGCAGCAATGTCTGAAATCTCCAAATTGTTAATTCAATTCTCCAGTTTATTTTGCTTTCAGTAGATATTGCCTAATTCTCTCTTTAAAAGTCACTAGTAGTGACTGAGGAAAGAAAATAAACATTTTGAGAGAACAGATACATCTCACCTCAACGTGTGACAATGATGATGTCTAAACATTGAGGTTGAATATCTGAACTCTCCCTTGGGTGTCTCTCTGAACCTTACTGAATTAGCCTCACCCAACTGTTCACAGACTTAAAAAGGAAAGAAAGAGAGAAGAGAAGGGCAGAAAGAGGGAAGGAGGAAGAGAGGAAGGCAGGGAGGGAAGGAGGGGCAAAATTGGAAGTTTATAAAGTTAGACTTTAACTTTGAGAATTTAAAGCATTGAAAAGATAATTTACTACAAAAAATGATTTGACAGAATAACTTGTACTCTACCAACATCCTAGCAGTTTTCTGAGTCCAGTTAAATATGAAACTTGAGAACTGTCAACATTTTATAGTTGCCTTGAGTTAATAAGCATTTTTCCTTGTTTCCCTTAACTGTCAAATTTTTAATGAAATTTAATCTTGGATGCCTACATTCTGGGGAGTTTTATTTGCTGTATTATACTTCTGTCTGCTTGCAAGCCACAGAATGCCAAATATTCATTCATACAATCTTTCTATGTGTCTAACTTGAGCCTACTGTATCCACTTCATTAATTAAATCGATATAAAAAAGATTTTACATGTTTGTAGAGAGTAACTCTTCAGCTCAATTTTTGAATGAACATTGTGAATTTTTTAAATCATTATATAGCCTATGTTTCCTTAAGTCACGGCACACCATCAGAAAACTTCCTAAAATAAAAGGCTCTTATTTTTGCAGTTGATTTTAAAACCCATCTAAAATAAAACGTTTGCATCTCTTTCCAAGTAATAGCCATTTTAAAGACTTTTTACTTTAGTATTTCCATGGTTTTAAAAGCATTTTAAGAGACTAAGAAGCTAACCTCAAAAAAGCAGTTGGACTAAAACTGATTTTAATTTTCACAAGCTCACCACTAATATTTAGACACTCCTGATGAGTCACTGGTCTTTCAAATACTGTCTGAATAAATAAGCAATAAATTACATGTGGGAATAAATGCAACCGTAAACATCGTATATGTTTTTCAGTAAAGAAATATACATTTACATAAACAAAGAAAAGCCAACAAAATATTTTACAATATCAGTAAAAGTAAGCCTCATTATGTGAGAGAGCTCCTTCTATCACAGTTTTCAAGGAAATTTCAAAACTTTATTTTTTTATTCCCTTATCAGCTAAGACAAATAACTGATAAGGTATGACATTCAATTATAATGTTTCTTTACATTTTATCAGCACAAACAAGCATTGGATTTCTACCAATGTATTCATTTTAACTGTATTATTTTAACCCCCAAAAAAGTCTTTGAAAGTGAAAGATTTTAAAAACTTACAAGAAGCAAGTAAGTGACATGTCATTCCATATTGCACATCATTTCAAGGGTAAATATATGCTTCAAATTTTTTTCTACATTCTGAATTATCACTAAACTACTAAATGTCTTTTATTGATATAAACAACCATAAAATTAAACTACTTAAAAATATTTCCTTTATAGTAGAATAGAAAATAAAATTAATGTCCTCTGTTATTGTGTCCAGAATTGAATTTTTGTTCTGTCAACAGTATTTAATTTGCAGGAGAAAAAAGGCAAAAAGAACCACTGATTTTTTCACAAAGTGTGCATATTTTAAATGTGTGTTCAAAAATATGATGCCTTTTATTTTATGTAAAATAAGTTATTTAAGTTCATAGTACTTTTAAATGGGGTGTGCTTAAAATATAAATATTACACATGTATTATTTATCAGTTTCTGTGGTGTCATTTACACTTGCCACAACTCAGATTTCAATAGAAATTTTGAAATTTGTGTTAATATCATTAAGATATACTCATTCTTCTCTTATTTTAAGACTGCCTATTAAAGAATGTATTGTTAATCTCAGAAGTTTGGTGTATTACACAGGGACTTGTTACAGGCAAATACATTCAGTTGGGATGTGTATGATTATTGTGTTACGTACATAACCATCTACCCTCATGCATATGTACATTTACATCATGTATAAATGTGTACATTTCCAAAGGGTACCATACTAAAGGAAGAGGAGAAGTGTCTCAGGACTGCCATACAACTAAAATGTTGCATGGCAGTACTGTTTTTCACTGAGTGCTGTTTTCCATGAGAGTAGTTAGGGTTTTTTTTTTCCAAAGGTAGGTGTTTGTAGACATGGTTTAGTTATTTACTGTCTTCCAAAAGGCTAGTTTTATAACCTTATGCCCACATATGCTTTAAATCAATGAGTGATACCCTTCCCTTCACCTTTCCCTTCTCTTAGGAAGGCCTATGGGAAAACACCTTGATAAATAAATCAAAGAAAAGCTACACTTTGATTCTAAAAACAAAAACTCATCTATTTCATCAGTAAAATTTTACCATTAACATTCTTTATTAAAGTTTAGCCGTCTACAAATTATCTTATGAAAAGGAATGGTCAAAATTAGATCGAGATATTGGCTGGTGACAGTCTCCTGAGGTGAATGCATGCAGATTTTACTGAGAGCCCTTCTCCAGGACAGGTGGTCTTGTAAAAAATTATGGTTAATAGTAAAACCATCTAATGTTAACAAATCCAAGGAAAATATATAGATACCACTAGAACTTCTAAATTATTGAAAATCCTCAGATACAAACATTAGGGCCAAAAAAGGACAACTAAAAGTATAAAGTTTCTGTTTCATATCCTCTGAATCTCATGTTATCAAAAATACAGTTTGGTAATTGGGTTCATATTTTCCGTGATGTGAAATTTCACCGTTTTCTGAATTCTCTCCGCCCTGCTTTCCCCTTGAGAGTTGAACGGTCTGGATGGTGCTGGTTAATGTTTTCAAAAGAAGGAACTTCGTTTGGCCCAATTTTTTTTTCTACTAGACTGTTTTTCTGTTTTCTAATGAGAGATAACTGACAGCTCTGTTTTGTAATGAAATTATGGAAATCACAGACTGGTAGAAAGGGGAGTCATTATTTAAGAACTGAAAAGGTGTGAGTGTCTTTATCCACCCCGCCTCCAAATTTCCCATTACTGGAAAGGAGCCAGTAAATTGGAAAGAAGCTGTGGACAGTGGCACCTAACAGGACAGCTAAAGAGACTCCCCAAAAGCCATTTTTAATTGGTTCCTGCTACCTCTCTATGCCTCCAAAAATAAAAACAACCTCCATACAAGCAATTTTGAAGGCGAAGACAAAAAAGGAAGCAGATACTCAAGCCCCTGAAACGTGGCTTGCCAGTGGGGGAAATCCAGTTTAAAAGAGCAGGCTGAGCGATGGAAAAGCTCTCCGTGGCATTTCTGAGCGAATATTGTCCCTTTCAGCCTTACTTTCGCTCACGTGAGACAGGGTGTCAATAAATATTCTCGGACCACAAGAGGGATCTCTTTTTAAATCACATGGGACGGAGGCAAAAGGACACTCGCGTGTGGAGAATAGGGGTGGAGGGAGGGAATGGGAAGGTGTGTGGGGGGGGGGGAGAGGAATGAACTCTAAGGCTGCGGATTCAGATCGAACAGCTATAAAGGTTACGCTGGCACCCGAGCCTGCTGCTACGCCTCCTGCCCTGCCCTGCGCGCGCGCCGCACTCACCCGCATACCCACCCTCACCCACTTTCGCACACACACAACACTCCAAGCCTCTCTCCTCGCCAGACTACAGAGGTGCGCTCGCCGGAGGTGAGGCGGCCCAGGCTGGTGGATTGCACAGGACAGCTCTAGTAGCTCCGGAGCAGGTGGGCAGAGAACAAGGCGCACCGCCGCAGGCACCACCGGGGGCTGCCCGCCGCGGCCGGAGTTGGGGCGGAAGCGGAGCGGTGGACCTCGAGCGGGCAGGGACCGAGGAGGGGTGACGCCGCAGCATCCCTCTGCGACTTCTGCCTCCACCTGCCGCTTCCCCGCCTCAAGGGACTCGCGTTTGGGAAAATACAAAGCCGAAGCCAGCGGGGAGAACCAAAGTGGGCCCTCACAATCGCGGGCCGCACTCAGGCTCCTCTAGTGCCGGCCTGCAGGGGGCGACGGCGGGTTAGCGCCAAGTGAGGATCTTGCCACGAGCCGGGGCTTACTGGAGGGGCCCACGGGGGACCCGCACTAAAGTGGGTTGTCTCTGAGCCTCTCCGAAAAGTCCTGCGGAGTCCTGAGGATTGGGGTAGTTGTCACCAAGGTATCGCTTTCCAGTCCCGGCAACTTCAGGAGGACCCCAACTGCTGGAGAGTTTGCCTCCAGGATGCTGGCTTAATCTCTGCTCCAGAGTAGGGAAGGGAGAGTTTTATTTTTCTGCCCTCTCAGAGCAGTGTCTCAGAGCATCGGGCAGTTTACTACATCTTGGGGGACAAAGGCAGATGGAGTGCGAGCTTTACTTCCTATCTGGGACTACCCGAAAGTACCAGAAGTCTCACCTCCAAGCTGCGCCCTTGGCCTCCTCAGCAATCATTCTCAAAAGCACGCCCCTTCCCTGGCCTAAGGGGACCCAAGGCCACATAAGACACAGCCCCTAAGATGCAGCGGGCCCTGGGCTGGGGGGCCTGCAGCAACCTGTGAATCTGTCCTCCCCGCTCCTGGGCGCCCACCCATTGCCCAGCTCTCGTGCTGCACCTTGCGCCCCACCAACGGGGACTTGTCCACCCTGTAGTTTTGTTTGAGGTGGAAAATGGGGCCTACGTTTCCAAAGAAACAAGAGTTCGAGTCCTCCCAGGGCACCTAAGGGGACTTCATTCGGCCCACGAGCTTCACAGGTACTCCAGGGGGGCGACCAGAGCCAACGGTGCCTTTGGGATCGACCTGATTGTGTGAAACCTCAAACTCCAGGCTGTCCACGTCCCTTTCTCACTCCAGAACTTCAGCTGAGCTTTGGGTGATGGCTGTCCCCCTTCCTGAGCCTGACCCAGAAGCCGAGCCAAACCCAGAGGTGTACTGATTTTTTTTTTAACCTCACATCTTATAAATGTGAGATTTTTATCAGGTAGCACAGATTACTTAAAGCGTACCATTTCTCCGAGATCCAATTTTATTAGGATTTACTCTCATTTGTGCTCGGCTTCTCTGGGGAAATAACGCTTTGATTAATGTAATCCTTGCCCGAGATCCGCCACATGCCCCTCGCCCCTCTCCCAAGAGAAAGGGTCTGTTTGACAAACAATAACAGAGCAGCTACTCTTGCAATCTGCCGACACCTTTGCGGGTGGCTAGGGAGGAGGTGACACACGTTCGCTAGCCGTTCGGTAAATGCAATGGTGAGAGGAGTGGTCGGGTTCTGCAAGGGGAGGGGGGTGCTAAACTTTCCAGACGCAGAGCCCTGGGCTTGGAGGCGAAGGTCCTTATGGGGAGGCGCCCTGGGTGGGGTGTGCGCATGGGTGCATGTGCGAGCCTACCCTTTACTTGCTCGAGTGTCTGCCTCTTTGTCCCCCGCCACAGGACTCCACGACGCGGACCTGCACACTCGCTATGAGCAGCCCCCGGACCCAGGGTGCATCCACAGCGCCCACCTGCGGCCCCAAACCACCTCGAGAGCAGATCTTCAGGAATAACCGGGCAGCAACTTGGGGCGCCCTGAAGCTACCAAAACCTCTGCCGGAAACCTAGAACATATGACCGAATTCAACGGTCGTCTTCCGACAAGCATCCATCCATGCACCCATGCATACAATGCAAATACATGGATACAGGCACTGACTGCTGCACCTTTCCCTTGCTTGGGCTGAGAGCAGGAGTAGGGAGGACTTTCCTGCAGTCCCTCCTCCGGCTCAGCCCTGTTCTCCTTCCCAAAGGGAGAACATTGAGTTACAAAAAAAGTGCAAAGGAACGAAATCCCAGGTCAAAGGCTCCCGGAAACACTCCTTTGGTTCTCGTCCCTGTCCTGCTGCCCCACCTCCACTGTCCCCAGCTCGGGGAAGGCGGGGACCAGGCGGTGCGAGGGGTCGTGCCCTGCACAGCCAGAACAAAGCCCACCGCGGCATCCCACAGCCACGCAGGGAGCTGGTGACAACGGCGTACGCACTCAGTGACCTGATAAGGTGACTCAGTGTTTACCTCTTCACTGTCCCGCACCCCATCTTCCTCTCTCATCCCTTTCTGTCCCAAGTTTCCTCCATTTCTCCCTGCTTTTTTGCTCCACCTCACCCCTTTTACATGTTCCCCTTCTCCCTTTGCGTTTTTTCATCTCTTTCCGTTTTTCTTTTTCACGGAAATGCAATGCCAGTTCGACTTCTGAAGGCCGCTCTGCGTGCCTAGTGCTTAGAGAGAAAAAAGGACTAATGGAATCCTCCTAATTTTATTCTGCAAACCATGTTCTAAATAAAATACAATACAGTCTAAAGAAGCGGAGCTTGGATCTCGTACCCCCACAAGTCGCCGCCTATTTGGGAGAACTTTCTGAAGATGGCCACAAATCACAGGAGAAAGGAGGAAGGAAGGAGGCCGCCCTCGCCTCTGTGGAATGGAGACCTCAAGTGCTGGTGCCCCCTCAAGACAAGCTTGTCCAGGGAAAGTTCCAATCTAATTGTATAAGCCCGGAAAGGAATCACTCGCCAGAACCCTTGCTGTGAAATCATATTGCTTCCGAAGTTAGAATACGTTAATAATCACTTTTTTTTCTGAGTGAAATTTTGTTTGTTTTTGCAATGAGAATTAAAGCGAACATAACCTATGCCATTTGGACAAGCACACCTTGACTTCTGAGGGCTTTTTGCACCCTGATATAACACTAAATTAAGATTTGTCATCTGTTAAGCACCACTCAACCTGGGAAATTCTGCCCTTGGGCTTTATTGAGTAACCAGAAAATTTGGGAGGAGGGGTAAGTGTTCAAAGCAATAAGGGATACAAAACTTTTAACTTTGGGCTAACAAACTCTAGTTGCATGAAGCTACAGTGAGCAAGGTCACTGAGTTCTACCACTAAGGCCTTTTCACCAGATATTTTGGGACTGAAATTATACTGCTGCAAACAAGCCATGGAGTATCTGAAAGTATCAATATTGATACTGTATTTTTTAAGTGAACAAAACAGCCACACTTTCTCGAAGACCCCTTGAACACTGACCAGTCAGGTGGACCTATGGAGGGAGCAGGACAATGAAGTGGGAGCTTCAACAGCCACAGGAGAGAGGACACCACATAAGCACCACTTGGGGGAAATGCCCAAAAGAACAGCTTTCAGCCTGGTAAACTGCAATTTGTACCCAGTTCCACAGATAATAGCTAAGTTCAAATATTAAAAATCTAATGAAAAACACAGGTGCCACAGTTAAAAAAAGTGTTTGATTTTTTTTTTCCACACAATGTGCCACAATGCTTCTTACCCATCATAGAGTACTGAGTTCCAACCTAGAAAGGAAGTGCTGTCTAAAATATAAGAAATGGTTGGGGCTGGGAGGAAGTGTTCCCAAGGGAGAAGAGAGTTCACTTCTGGTAGGACTCCAAGCTCAAAGCAATCCAACTACCCCTCTAGCAAAGCTGAGTTAATATTTCTAGTGTTTGTTTTAAAACATACACACACAGTGGACCATGGAATATTTTTCTAGCTAGGACACACTCACACGTTTTTGTTAATAAATCATTATCCTCACTCTAAGTATCCTCACTCTAGCTGGGACTCTACTCATCTATCCCTGTGAATTTAAATTCAAAGGCCCTTATAATGGGATTTGGGGTGGCAATATGAGGAGGCAGGCAAGAGTAGCGCATTACACTGTGTCAGCTATGGCTTCCCTAGCAATTGGTAGCTTTCCTTAACAGACTTGTCAGATGTACGCATGCAGCTAGAGTGGACTAAATGTTGCAGACGGGTTGTTTCAAAAGTATGTACTCCATAACCAGTTTATCATGGCTTCTCAAATTAGGTTCCCCAATCTGAATTGCCTGGTAGTCTAAAGCTGTCCTATAAGCATGAAAAGTAAAGCTTCTTACTTTAGGGTGAGAAATTACAGTGTCTGAATTTATAATTGCCTCTTCAAACCCATCTAAGAGAACTAAGTGCTTGCTCCTTTCCTACAGATCAGATAAATCAGTTATCAAAGTGATACAAAGAACTAGAAGAACCATCGAACACTTCAAAACACTCAGCAAGACCAGGAAACAACTCAAAACAACTCATCCACTTCTCCAGATGACACATACTCATTTTCACCCAAAAGTTACCATTAAAGAGCCCTTTACTTTGTATATAGCACACACTGTGAGTTGTAAGTATGCTTAACATTTTAATTTGTAAATGCTAGTGGCAAGTGCACTCCTGCACAGCTAGGGTATCCAGCACCTTATCATTCTCAAATGAAAGCAAATGAATAAATACCCACTTTGTGTTTTGTGCATTTGACCCAGGTAATGGTCTTCATTCTCTCATTTGGCAAAAGCAGTTTCACCATCCCCAATGATTAAAATTTTGTAGCTTTTCCCAGCACTTTGAATCTTAATTCATACACCCAGCTTTATTGTTCCCACCACCAAATCATTATAGAATGCTAATGTGTTCTCTATAATATATCAGTTCTCAAATTAACTTGAATTAACTTGTTGCTTTACTCAGAATCACTATTTTCTGTTTCTTTTACTTTAAGTAACCTAAGACTATAGATATCACAAGGAGCATTTTTTCTTTCTCTTAAAGTACTTTCGCAAGAAAAAAAAAAAAGAAAGCATCAGTCAAGATAGTAACAATTATAGATCTAATGAAAAATGATACAAAAAAGTATCCTTTAAATATATATATACAATCATTGCCTACCTAGTGTTTTGCAAAATGTCTGGCTAAATAGAAAAGTTTCCTCTCTCCTTAACAATTTTTATTTTATTTTTTTAATTTTATTTTAATCATTGTTCAAGTACAGTTTTCTGCCCTCCACTCCCATTCAACAATTTTTAAATGTATTCAGCAGCCCAGGCATGCAAAGTAAGCTGGAGCTTTGAGCATTTGTCCAGTTCATGTGGATTTCTCTCATAAGTCTTTTGTCCAGAGAGCTTAAGAAAAAGCAATGTTTGGACTCAAGTTACAGTTTTCTCAATTTTCCACATTGTTTTATCAGCACAAACCTAACAGTATATTTTCTGACTCTAAATGTGAAAGCTCCTGGACAAAAATCACAGAATTAAAATTATTTTCAGAATGTCTCCTTTGCTTATTAGTCCCCATAATCTTTCAACCCTCTCAAATTAAACACCATTGAAAGCCAAACCTTGACATTTCAAAGTTAGTTTCAAAGTAAAACTCATGACTGGAAGCTGGTTGACTTGGAGTTGAGTTAGAAAAAGCTGTCTTCCCTCCTCTTCCTGGGAAACATTAGAGCTTCACGTCCTGTCCCCCTTCCTAACAGGCGAGGTGACACAGTCACAGGTGCGCTGAATTACTGAACTCTGGACACCAGCTTCTTACTTCCAGTCACTTATGGCTGCCCTTTCTTAGCCATGCTTTCTAAATCTCCTTGGGAAAATTGTTAGTAACAAACTGGCTAACTCCTCAAAATTGGTCAAAATTTGCTCTTCACTCTATTAGGAAGTTTTTCACATACCATTTTTATCCTATACCCAAATAAAGTTGTTTCCAGAGGCAGTATTTTAAAATCCCTGGGATGGAAGGAAACCTGGTGCTCTATTAAAACTTTTCTTCACCTGTGTTAAGTAATATTATGCTAAAATTTTTCAAGCTCACAGTTACCTCCAACCAATGGCTATATTGTATTTTCTTTTGTCTAACAAATCCTTTGAAGATAAACCCAGACTCTTTATACAGCCATAGGAGGAACCAAGAATTAAAGTAGCCATTAAATATCAAATGAAGTAAAAAAAAAAAACCATCCAGGATGCCTTAAGTAAATCTCCAGGATCTTGAGTTAATTTAGAAGTCAAAGTATGAATCAAGTTGAAGAACATTCACTACATAGTAAGTAATACCTTAGGGTGCATTTTATTTTTTAACCGTCTCTCCCCAAATACAACCTGAATGGTAGTTTCTGAAGTAGTTTATTACATGCCCTTAATAATTTTTAAAGCTTTCTTGCTTTCACAGCCCAATTCTGTTTTCCAGCCTTATATACAGTTCACTGAGAGAAATGGACAAATCCTTTAACTGTTTCTTTCAGGGCCATTTCACAGATATAGATGGGTGGGAGATGGGGAAGTCATTGTCCTCGTGTTTAAAACCCTCTGTTATGCAATGAATTCACTCATTGAGAATCTGCACAGAAAGGTTTGCTCCTTTGGCATGTTTGAATGAGCAGATTTGCTTTGGATACAGCTACATTTTACTCAGTACCTGCTAAAGCGAGTCAGTGCGCCCCCTGCTGACAAGTTCTTAGTGTGATTCCTGAGCGCTTCGAAAGTTTATTTTGTTCGGTACACCGTGTCATATAAAATTAACAACAACCAATAAAATTAGCTTATATGTTTCAAGTGTAAAAGTCCAAAACATAATAAAGCTAGTTTTAGTGGCGCTAGAAATCTCTAGTTTGGCTTCTCCTCTTTGGTTGAACCAAGGTCCTTTTATCTAAAGCCCAGTGCACAAACATATAGCTTAATGTGACTAGTGTTCTTCCTTTTATTTCTTTCTCTATGGCAACCAATATGCTCTGCTCAGAAATGTTCCCCATCAAGGAAACAAATGATCTTCAGGGAGCAGCTCTATATGGCATCTGGTCCAATGGAGCAGAGAGAGTTAACCCCAGTCAAAAGCAAAGCTGCCAAGCACGTAAACAAGGAGTGGAAACCCCGCGATTCTTACTCCTCTCCCAACTGAAACCTCTTCCTCCCTCCTCACAAGCCATTTCATTGATTTGGCACGAACTGTTGCCAAAGACACTGAGAATTTTAGACTGCAAGGTGTTCTGGATAAAAAAGTGCAATAAAACTCCAGCCATTTGAGTCTACCCCCTCATCACCCAAACACAGCTTCCTTTAAAAAGAACAAAACCAAGAAGCTTTAGGAATCCTCTCCAGACTATTTCATGAAGGTAAGGTGTCCTCATCAGCTTGGAACTGGCCTAGCTATTTCCTCCAGCCATATTTATCTAATTAACTGCATCTAACAAGTAACTGCACCCTCAATTTTTACAAAATCCAGGGAGCAGGAGGGGGACAAGGCCAGTTGTCAAATATTAAAACCAAAGTAAAATCTAGTTAGCAGTGCTCACGCTCCAGCCCCCTTTGGGAATAAAGTGTAGGATGTCCCCATTAGACTGATCATCCTCTTTGACAGATCATCCTCTTTCTGGTGGACTTTCACAAGCAAGCTAGGTAGCTGTAGCAGAAACGGTAATAAGCCAGGGTGCACCGACTTCCTGCCTCTTCTTCCTTCACTGCTTCCGTAGTCTGCAGCTTTTTGCCCTCCCTTTGCCAACCCCCCCATCCCAACCCTGGCTCCCAGCAGGAATCCCCTCACCCCAGTCCCAAGCAAGTTCATACTCTGTACTGGCCACAGAAGGAGGGTCTCTTCCTCTCTGGTCCTCATTTTATAATTCCCCAAACAAGAAATGTTTATAATACTGCGCACTTTATAATTGTTTCTTTTCTAGGGCTTTTTCCCTCCCTTGCAATCAACAATTAAAGTTGATAGCACCCCCTTCCCCAAGTGCCTTGCTGTGGGAAGCTTTGGAATAAGTCCATCTTTTTATATATTTTATCAGGGCTGGGTTTTTTTAATTCTCTTCCCCCAACACACTTTCCCTTCCTTAAAAACAGTTGCCTTGTGAACACTCTCTTGTCCCAAGCAATGAAAATAAGTTCCCAAACTTACAAAAAAAGAAAGAAGAAAAAAAGAAAAAGAAAGAAAGAAAGAAAGAAAGAAAGAAAGAAAGAAAGAAAGAAAGAAAGAAAGAAAGAAAGAAAGAAAGAAAGAAGAAAAAGAGAAAACATGGAAAGAAAATGAAAAACACTTACCAACCAAACTTCCAGGGTAAGACTTTAAAATAAAAGATGTTTTATTTTTTAAATGAGGTGACTGGAGTGGGGGAAGGCATATTCTCAACTCCCCAGAACCGATGTATCCTTAGCCTTCCCTTCACACTGACTCCTCGGAGCCCAGCTCTCCACTAGTCTATTATTTTCACCAAAATATATGAAAATGTATGCAAATGAAAATCAGCACTAACTGTTCTCCCCTTGTTATATACTTTGGATTTTTTTTTCCCAGACAAAACAATCACAGTCGCAAAGGGAGGGAGCCGGTGGGGTGGGGCTGGGGGGTGGTTAGGGTGCGACTGGAGAACTAAGAAGGAGGAAAGGGGGGGACTAAGGAGACAAACCTCGGAACAAAAGTGCGTTTCTGTTATCAAGGAGCACTGTGGGTTTTTTTGGGGGGGGGGGCTTCCCATTCGCACGCACACACCCTCCTTGAAAAGAAACAAAGTGGATATGTTTGCAGAGGCGCTATCACGTTTCATCAGGCCACCTGAGACTGCTTTTGAAAGCGTGCACTGTGAAATTCATAGCAGTAATTTAGACAAAATCCTCACTGTATATTAATGAAAGACGGCCCCATGGCTCTGTTCCTATCCTCCCCATTCAGTGTAAACAAAACCACGAGACTCTCGGTTTTTGAGCCAGATCCAAGCAAAATCGGCAGGAAAGGAAAACACGGGGTGCTGGCACTTACTATTCAAAAGTCTGCACCTGGAGATCTCAGATTTGTTCAATGAAATCTGTGTTCCATCTTTTATATATACATATACACGTGCATAAATATAAAAAGGAAGCTTATGGGGACACAAAAGGAAAAATTAGTGCTGTTTAAGGTTTGGTTACCACTGTTTTTCACATCTATACCTTAGCAACAATGGCTTTGCTGGAAAACCTACCTAGGAAGGTATCTCTCCCTGGGCAAGCAAGAGCTGGACAGGATCCTACATAAATTCTACGTGTTTCTGTTAATCTGGAAATCACGCAAAGGCTGCGTGGCTGCGGCTGGGTTCTCTTGCTTTAACTGGGTTCACCCAACTAAGCCCAGCAGAGGAATTATTCCCCAGGAGGGGAGGGCAGTTTTGTTCACAATTTAATCGGAGCACTCCGCGGCTCCGCAGCGAGGTCCAGGGCCGCGGTTCCGGCGCCCGCCGCAGGAGCAAGCCGGGGCCGCGGGAGCGGAGCTGGAGTACTGCAGCTGTGCTGCGGGTTGCATGCACACGCACACTCATTAAGAACGATGTATTTATTTGAATGTCCGACTTAGGTTAGTTCATTTGAAATCCCCGAGGAGGGTTCAATTTGCCCTTGTTTTCGTTGCCACTTTCTCTTTTTTTCTTGGTTCGCTGAGGTTTCTCCGTGCAGCGTTTCCGCTTGGCCGCGTCCCCCACCGGCTTCTCCCGCCTACCCTTCGCATTCCCCCGCCCACCCCCCTTAACTCTTTCGGCCCGGTTTGGGCTGAGAAAGCGTTTGTCGTCGCCAGCCCCATCTACTATGCAAACCCATCGGAGGCAGAAAAGAAAGAAAAGCACCACCGTGCCTTAGAAAACTCAGCAAGCAAATCCCACCACTAATAACCACACTGAAGTTATACACACATAGACACACATTAAGCACACATAGTAAATGGTGGAGGGGGCAGCGACTGAATTCCGGTTCTTTAGGCCAGCTCTGGCGGCAACGGTAATTGCTAAAGTCAATGGGATGAAATACATTTACGATGTATCTATGGGGCAAGGTCGGCATGCTTTTCAAAAACATAGCCCCACTCTGCAGACTAGCACCCCCCAAACTCACAAGGGAACGCATGCTACTTGCCTGACCCGGAGGAGGGAGGAGGGAGGGGGTAGGAGGAAAGGAGAGGGAGAGAGGCAGGGGAAGTGGGGGCGAGTGCAGCCGCGGCAGGGAGAGGTCCGCTCGCACGCACGGGCGCCGCGCTGGTCCCGGGCTGACGGTTTCCCAGATGATGGCATGCAAGAATTTAAACAAAGGGGACCGCTGCGAGCGCGAAGCGGCTGTGGAAAGTTGCGGTGGCAGATTTCCAAGAAGCGTGGCCACGACCTGAGATCTTGGCGCTGCGAGCTCCGGTTTCCCAAGCCCGTCGAGACAGAGAGGGGGCCGGCTGGTGAACGAAAGCGGAAACTTTGAAACCACTGGGGTCACATCTGTCTATAGGTATTAGCTTGAAAGGTGCATCTTCGCCGCATGCTGTACAAATCTCTGGGATAGGAGGGGGCAGGAGGGCTGCGACACTACGCAATCCTAGGTGGAGTGGGTTGGTTGCTCTATTTCATGATTACTTTGCCCCCCCCCCTTCGTTTTCCTTCCGATTCTAACTCCCTCTTCTGTCCCTCCCTCTCTTTTCTCTCTGCTTCCCTTCCGTCCTCCCAGGCCTCCTGCGAACGTCCAAAGCCACAGAGGGTACGCCTAGGACTCTGCCGGACACTAAGAGTTAAGATGTGGCTGAGAGGGTGGAGGGGGAGGGGCGGGGAGGAGAAAGTGGAGAGGGGGAGGGAGCCTGAGGGACGACAGATTTCCCGCATACACGACGCTCTGCCTAAATTAAAAAGCAACCAATCGAAACGGCCGGAAGGGGGACGTCGGGTCCTGAGCCAGTCATTCCGGGCCTGCCAATCACTCAGCAGGTAGCCAATCAATGGGGCCCCTGGCGCTGGACTTCCTTGTATTTGGGAAAGTGTGGTGGTGGGTGTGCGCTCGCGGCGAGGGTAAACATTCGACAGTCCCTGCTCTGAGAGGGAGGGACCCGGAGCGAACTGTCAGATTGGAGCGCCAGCGGGCGGGCAAGACAAGGGGAGAGAGGGGGGAGGGGGAGAGAGAGAGAGAGAGAGAGAGAGAGAGAGAGAGAGAGAGAGAGAGAGAGAGAGAGAGAGAGAGAGAGAGAGAGAGAGAGAGAGAGAGGGAGAGAGAGAGGGAGAGAGAGAGTGAGAGAGAGAGAGCGCGCAAACCAGGGCGCAGAACGAGCTCCCACTGCAACTCCGCTCGCGCACCGCCCGCGCCAGCGCCAGCCCTGCACCCTACGAGCCGCGCAACGTGCCCACTGGAGTTGGTTGTATATCAAGGATCCCCTATATGCACACACACCCCTCAACCTCCACCAATGCACTTTTCCTCCTCCTCCTTCTCCTCCTCCTCCTTCAGACAACAGCTGGGAAAAAAATAAAACACCAACCCCAACCTTCAGCAACAAGGTAACAGCCATTCGACCTCATTTTTCTCCTGTTCATTTTTTCCTTGTTATATTTGTTTCCTCGTTTCTGCCTAAAAGGAAAGATGTCGCATCAGGCTGTGACTGTTGCGAGGAGAATGAAAGAGGACTCTTGTTTCAGAGGCAACCAAGAGTTCCGGCAATAGCAACTTCAGAGCAATGCAGCATCGCAAGAAGTTTTCCTAGGACAGAACAAAACTTGAAACGAGAGGACCATACGAGGAGAGCAGGAGCTAGCCTCTCCTCTCCGCACACGCCAGCAGCCAGCATCACCACGCCTTCAAGGACTAAAAAAGTTTTACTACTCCAAGGGGTAACGAGTGAAATGTGTTCCTGAGAGGAGAGGAGAGCGGCCAAGGAAAGGCGCAGGCCGGCTGTTGGTCATCCATAATTTGATTCAAGAAGAAAGAAACGGCTTCTTTCTTTGTTGTCTCCCGTGAAATCGCCACTTAGCAGGTGGATCGAGCCCCGCGTCCAGGCAGAGTCCGCGTTCACCGGGACAGGAGGAGGAGTGGGAGCCGGGCGCCCCAGCTTAGAGCCCGAGCGCAGGCCCGCGCCCCGCTCGGTGAGCCCCGCTGGAGCAAGACGAACGCACCGGGGCGGGGGGACGGCCAAGACCCCCCCTGAAGGGGGCGGCCTCGGAGCGCGCCTGGAAAAGCTAGCCCCACTCCCCAGAGCGGTGCTCCTGCTGCTGCAGCTGACCGAGACCGTCCGACGACCCCAGCGCCCTGCCCAGCGGCTTTGCAGCTCCGGCCGGGGACCTCAGCGGCGGCTGCTGCGGCGGGCCGATCCGGGCCAGCGGCGGGGGCGGGGGAGGAGTGGGGGGAAGAAGGCGGGAAGGGGGGGGGGTGGCGCGGCGGCAGTGGCTGCTGCTGCTGCGGCGGCGGTGGTGGCGACGGTGGGGTGGCGGGAGAGGAGCGGCATGGCCACGGCGGCTTCTAACCCCTACCTGCCGGGGAACAGCCTGCTGGCGGCCGGCTCCATTGTACACACTGACGCGGCGGGGGCTGGCGGCGGTGGGGGCGGGGGAGGCGGTGGCAGCACGGGTGGAGGAGGGGGAGGCCTGCAGCCAGGCAGTGCGGCTGTGACCTCCGGCGCCTACCGAGGGGACCCGTCCTCAGTCAAGATGGTCCAGAGCGACTTCATGCAGGGGGCCATGGCCGCCAGCAACGGCGGCCATATGCTCAGCCACGCGCACCAGTGGGTCACGGCCCTGCCCCACGCCGCGGCTGCAGCCGCAGCCGCCGCCGCTGCCGCGGTGGAGGCGAGCTCACCGTGGTCGGGCAGCGCCGTGGGCATGGCCGGCAGTCCCCAGCAGCCGCCGCCGCAGGGCCCCGACGTGAAGGGAGGCTCCGGACGCGACGACCTGCACGCGGGCACCGCGCTGCACCACCGCGGGCCACCGCACCTCGGGCCCCCGCCGCCGCCGCCGCACCAGGGCCACCCTGGGGGGTGGGGGGCCGCCGCTGCTGCAGCAGCCGCTGCTGCCGCCGCTGCCGCGGCACACCTCCCGTCCATGGCGGGGAGCCAGCAGCCACCGCCGCAGGGCCTGTTGTACTCGCAGCCCGGGGGCTTCACGGTGAACGGCATGCTCAGCGCACCCCCTGGGCCCGGAGGTGGTGGAGGCGGCGCGGGTGGCGGGGCGCAGAACCTGGTGCACCCAGGGCTGGTGCGCGGGGACACGCCCGAGCTGGCGGAACACCACCACCACCACCACCACCACCCACACCCGCCGCACCCGCACCACGCGCAGGGCCCGCCACACCACACGGGTGGCGGCTCTGGACCAGGACTCAACAGCCACGACCCTCATTCTGACGAGGACACGCCAACGTCGGACGATTTGGAGCAGTTCGCCAAGCAGTTCAAGCAGCGGCGCATCAAGCTGGGCTTCACACAGGCCGACGTAGGGTTGGCGCTGGGCACGCTGTACGGCAACGTGTTCTCACAGACCACCATCTGCCGCTTCGAGGCCCTGCAGCTGAGTTTCAAGAACATGTGCAAGCTCAAGCCGCTGCTGAACAAGTGGCTGGAGGAGGCGGACTCGAGCACCGGCAGCCCCACCAGCATCGACAAGATCGCAGCGCAGGGCCGCAAGCGCAAGAAGCGGACCTCCATCGAGGTGAGCGTCAAGGGCGCGCTCGAAAGCCACTTCCTCAAGTGCCCCAAGCCCTCGGCGCAGGAGATCACCAACCTGGCCGATAGCCTGCAGCTCGAGAAGGAGGTCGTGCGTGTTTGGTTCTGCAACCGACGCCAAAAGGAGAAGCGCATGACGCCGCCCGGGATCCAACAGCAGACGCCCGACGACGTCTACTCACAAGTGGGCACTGTGAGCGCCGACACGCCTCCGCCACACCACGGACTGCAGACGAGCGTGCAGTGAGGGCCAGGGACTCTGCGACACTAGGGCCCGCCGCCGCCTGCGCAGTCTCCGCCACCGCCAACGCCTCGCCAACGCCGCGACTACCCGCACCGCACCCGGACTGCCCCGGGCCGGGCCGGGCCGGGCCGGGCCGCCGTCCTCCCCTCTACCCAAAGACAGGCTTGCCCACCCTTTGAAAAAAAAATAGAGAGAGAGACAGACAGATCGAAGAGATGTTTTTTGAAGCCCAAGGAAGGAGAGGCAAAACAAACAAAAAAGCATAATAAATACCCAGACGGTTTTATATATATACACAACAAACAGAACCAGAAGAGAGAAGGAGGGCGATCGTGCGATCTTATGTATCCTGTGGTGGTGTTTCGGTTTTTGTTCTTGATTTTCTTTTCAAAGAAGGGTGAAAATGCCAACGCACCAAAACTGCACTCGTGGAGTTTTGCGCACGCTGAGAAGTCCCACACGGCGACGGTGGACAGAACCTAGCACCTGACTTTTCCCCTCCTCTTAAAAAAATAAATAAAGTACCCGTCTCTCCCACCCCCCTCCCTCCAAAGGGCTGCCTAAAGTGATCCACCGGTACCTCGTTTCCTGGGAGCGATCTGAAAGAAAGCAGAGGCGCCGGTTTTAATCAGGGATGACTCTGCTCCGGACTCGGTTCTTCTTGGCCATATTAAAGTCATTTGGGAACAAATAAACTGACTATGAAATGGGAAAGAGAAAAAAGAACAGTCTCCAGCAAAAAAATAATATTCACAGCTTCTGAAATTAACAAACTGAAGACCAATGCCAAAAGAAAAAGAATGCGCTTCATCCACATAACCTCGGAAATAAAGGCATCACGAAAGAGCAGAGGGATGAGCGAGGGCGAAGGGGAGATCCGCTCATCTGTCAAGGAGTAAGAGAGTCCGGCAGAGCAGGGGTGCGGGCAGGAAGACCGGGCGTGGGGCGAGGCCTGGCCAACAACCCCGACAGCAGTGTCTGCCACTCGGGTGGACGATGCCTAAAGATTCCACCGCTAATATTTTTTTTATTAATATTTTATTTTTTATTTCTGGACTGACTCAGTTAAAGGGATTTGGAAAGACTGAGCACCAGCCGCTGCCCTTCTTGGACTTCACTCCTCAATCCGTTGCCAACTTTGACTGAATGGGTGCCGTGGATGTGATTATATAATACTGCCATTTCCAAGCAGTGTTTTTGGTAGGTTTTAATAAACAGACTTTTCAAAAGACGGCAATATAGAATTGTTAGATCCGTTGTTGATCTAAAAATATTTGCTTTATATTTTCATTAAATGACTTCTTTTAATATTTTATTCAGAATACTTATGAACTGCTACAAAACGGTAATTTATTTTTCCCCAGATCTTGTATTACGTGTTTTTTTCAGACGAGCACAAATCAAAATGAAATGAAAATATGGACAGTTGTTAGGTAATAAGGGTATCTTTTGATGTGATCATTTGATTGTAATTTAATTTGAGTAGTGATTCCGTAAGAGCTGATTGAGAAAATAAATTTGTTAGAATGAAATAGCCTGTGTCTGATGCATAAACACTGTGTGGGAATAAAATAGTTCTTTAGAACATATTTTTTTACTAATGTATATCCTTAAGTGATAGCACTGAGGAAGTAAAGTAGAGCTTATTGCACCTAAGGTAGATTTGGAAATCTAGAGTGAAGGACAGACATGACAGAAACTGCTAGTACTCTGATTTTAACTTAGTAGCCACTCCTTGATAAGCTGTAAATTTCACAATATTTTTCTTTCCCTTAGTTTCAGTGGGTGTTTTTAGTGTTTTTGTCCTTTCCTTGGAGATACTTGGGTCCTTTTCATCTTTATTAGATTGGACTATGTCATCACCAGTAAAAATGTTCCAACTGCTTATTAATGGTTAATACAGAGCCCCCTTCCCAAAGTTTAGCCTCTTTCCCCTCTCTTCCCCACCATATTGCTATATCTCTTTCTTCTTTTTCTAAAGACTGATAGTTGTGAAGACTAACTCACAAGTCTATAACATTTTACATCAATTACTTTCCACTGATAAGTATGTAATTCAGTTTAAATTATTAAGCCATGTTGGGGTTTGTTTTGTTTTGTTTGTTTTTCCTGCAATGAAAGAATGTAGTTCTAAAATCCTGAATATGGTCCACACTGCATTACCCTCAGTGTGAATACCAACTCAGACATAAGATTCTCCATTTCTGTTATTTGGTCTTCCCCCAGTGTGTTTCTATGTCTTCTTTACTGGCCCTGGTGGTTGGGGGGGGGGGGGCTTTTTGAATCACTCCTTTGATACACCCTGTAGAGTGGTCACGTTTATCACATTCATGTATCAATATGTATAACGGGGGGTGGGGGGGAGTGAAAGTGTGATGTCTCAGGTTGTGAGTACTAAAGACAGAAAAGGTTCTGCTTAGCTAAGTCCTTTCACATTGGACTTTAAAAAAGTATTTGGGGGTGATAAAGCTGTGATTTTTATAGAATAATTTTCCTCATTTAGCTATCACTCACTTTTGCCTTCTTCTCTCATCCTCACTTCCTCTCCCTAAGATATCAGTGCAGGGGTTAAAAAACCCGGCAAACTGTGAGAGCAACAAGGAACAGTTATTTCTTCCAGGCAGACCCTTTGTCACTTTCATAAATCAAGCCCAGCCAGATGGCCGTGTGTTGGGTTGCATTATTTTAAACGCCAATCTTACTAAAAATCACAATCATTTTGATTTGTGAAATCTGAAAAAGGCCATATTTATTAAACAGAAAAAGGAAAAAATTAAAACAAGAAACCACAATTTACTTTCCTTGGCTTTCCTGTTTCCTTATTTCTCTTGCTATTGTAATCTCTCTGCCCAGTGAATTTACAACCTGGAGTTGGGAGTCGGAGCAAACTTCATCATCCTTGAGAGTGTACAGGGGCAAGCAAAGAAGGATTATTGGAAAGCTGAGGATTGGGTGTGGTTGTTTTCATATGTTGTATACTACTGGCGCGTGAGACGAAATCCTGTTTTCCCTACAGGATTGGTAGTGGTTGATTTGATTAGATGGTGGGTCTATTTAAAATTTTAGGAGCTATTTGCTTACTTTATTTGACTGACAACAAAAGAACTGCCATTAGATTTCACACTGTTTTCTATTAAAAATCAACCTTTGTTGATTATTTTGGAAGAAGCCCTGATTTAGGGGTAACAGAAACTTTTAACTGGAGAAGCTGGGAAAGCAAGACCATTTTATTTCATTATTTTACATCTTTTTTAAATGAGCTAATGCTGGCACTCTGTATTTTGAAAATCAACCCTTTGAATGTATTTACAAAATGAAATTTATGGTTGAAAAACAATAGATAGCAGATGGAACTGAGAGGTTTTGTATTAAGGCTTATACTGTTACTAACATAAATAATGAAAATATTGTTATATATCACCAGATCTCTTTAATGAATTTGGTCATTGTGTTCCTTTGCAGAGCAAGTGTCTTGTGCTTAGTAAAGTGCCCATTTGTTTCCTCCATTTCAATCCACCCCCTCCTCCACTTCCAACCCAAAGGAAAGTGACAAAGTTCTGTTCCATCAATCTGGCTAATCCCAAACCAGGGCCATTTATACTTTGCAATCTCCTGTGGCTCCTGATGTGTTGTCCAAGCCCCAGTCACCTCATTCACCCAACCATCTTCTCCTGAAAGTCTGGGCAATAAATCATTCAAGGTGTATTTAAAATAGTCACTTTGCTGTCGTTGCTCTGCCTTTTATAAATACCGAGCTAAGGACTTCTTCTTTGTTCCAAAACAGAACTGTTCTTTATTGATCTTAAAGAGTCCCTCTGCTTCCCTGTAGCCTCCAGTAGTTGCTCATTACCATGCTCATAATGTTTTGTATGAATGGTTTTCAATATTCAGAGAATTGGTTCTAATATTAAATGCAGTATATACTATTGATAGTTTATCAATAAGTGTACTATTTTAAATAATTTTAACAATTAAATTTGTTTTTAAATTATATATTTGTAAAGTATTTATCCTGTTGGAAACAACAATATATCATTGTATTTATTCATTTATTTTTGTAATAAATGATCAACCTCTCAAGCTAAATTAAAAATGACACTTTTATATATTTATACAAAATGCATTTTAAGAGATGGGCATATTTGCACCAATTTGTATGTAAATAGAGTAAGATCCATCAATAACATGCAGCTTTCAGAACTAAATTGAAAGAAGAAACATTCTCTCCACATGGAGTTTAGTTTGCCCAAGTTCCAGGGTAATTAATCAAATTCTAAAATGGATGCAACAAGTATTGGCACTGGATGCAGACTTGAAATTAATTATTTAGGAGGTGGACCTGTTTTTTTTCAAGGCAAAAGGATAGAAATTAAAGAATTCTTTCATGAAATGCATGTGGCTGACTAGGCAGATTAGAACAGATGCTATGTATCAGTGATAAAACCTAATACCTGGCTGTACTCAGACATCTATGCTGGGGCATGGTGTCGAAAGAGTGTTAAGACTTTGAGGTTATCTGTGACCCAGAAACAAGGTAACATAGGAAAAAGAGTTGTGTTATGTTATTTCTTTTTAAATGTCTTCTTTAAATTACTGTGAATGAAGAGCCTCTTTCTCCTAGCCTGTTACTGACAGCACAAGCAAGCGATCAGCACCGGTGTTAATCTTGTTGTTGTTGTTGTTGTTGTTGTTGTTGTTGAGAGTGATACATGTAAAAAGTGTGGAGGCCACATCTTTAGATCTCCAAGTTTTGTAGGTCTCTTGGTCATCTCAGTTCCTTCCCTGAAGGTCTCCCATGTGACCCCCTGGCTGCGAAGCCCACCGTGGGCTTGACCTCAATTTCAGTAAGGAAATCAGAGAGCTCTGGGTTTGCCTCCTGAACTTTCCAGTCTAGGAAAGGAAATCATGCAGAGACTGGAAGAGAGGAATGGCGGTGGGGGCAGCGGAGATAGCAAGAGGGGTACTTGTGTAATCAGATTCTTTGATTTTGTTAGCATGGCTCATGGCCTATTAATTAGATTACTCTCTTTCATTCTTGATTTCACATCCGTGTTTGTTCCAGTATCCTAAAATGTGGGCGCAAGCATGGTGAGCAGGAGCCTATGATGTCACTGCCGGCCAGCCGGAGCTGCAGCCTGGTCTTCGGGAGGGCTGCGGGCTGAGTTCTTTATGAGCCCGCTCTGGAAGTGACCTCAGAGGGGTCTGGGCAACTGGCCTTCCCGTGGTGGCACGATGTGTGCACCAGTATGTGTGCGCGCGTGCATGTGCATGCGTGTCTATGGGTGCAGGTGAGGGGAGAAGCTGTGGAAAGTCGCAGTCTAGTCTCGGAAGCCCTAGGAATGGAGAGGGATTGCACAGGTGCAGGGCCTGCCTCAAGCGGAGATGGAAGATCACAGAGGAGCGGACGAGGATGGTGCTGCGGACCGAAGGCAGCAGCGGTCTTCCTGGGGCACCGGGCAGAGCCGGGCAGCCAGGTGGGACAGTGGCAGGCTCAGTGGGGTGGCATCCCTACCCTGGCGTAACAGCTGGCCAGTCCCACAAGTTGTTTTCCTCGTGGCGACCATTCAGCAAAACGCAGGATCCTTTCTCAAAGATTTAAATTTCGCGGATGAATTACCATACAGCGGTTGCTTAGCAACTAAATTCAAGCAGGGCTAAGAATATGCAAGCTTTTTGTATTCTCATTAATAAAAATGCCACTCTGACACAGCAACCCGACTTTGGATCACTGCAACTTCTGTAAAAGCCGTAGGAGAATACAAACCGATCCTGCCATTTAATTACAGATCAAAATAGCTTGAGACGCAATATTTTGTTCATCTATCTTCCTAAAAGCGAGTAAAAACGGCTCTTCAGAAGCAGTAGTAAATTTTTTTAATGAAGTTGTCTATCAGGGTTACTGATAATTGTCAAACCAAACTTTTTAAAACACAGGTCGAAATATTCCTTTTCATCAACATTTCTACTCTCCCCCACAGTCCACTATCCTCTGATCTTGCTCTCCTCCCCCAGCCTAATAATAATTATTATTATTATAATTCTGTAAATATTCAAGCCTTGAAAGCCCTAGAGACTAAAGGGCAGTTGGCAGAGCAATCCACGAGGCCGGTGGCTGGAGAAATACTGAAAAAAAAAAAAAACTGAGGAGGAAACAAATAGGAAGCTGTGAAAGTTTTCTTGGAAGGTTGGAGGAGTAGCTGAGCTGGGTGGGCTCAGGTCCCAGAGGTTCTGGTGCTTACTTTCTGAATGCAGGTGGGAACTAAAGTCAGAAATGCCGGTAGACCACTGCTCGACATTGTCCGATTTTCTGTGCTGGGGTCCAGCCTTCTCTCCCCAGAAATTCGGTTGCCGCCTCCCCTCTTGGGACCCTACAGTTCAGAGGGGCCTGGCTGTCTCTGAGACCCACCTCGCCGCTGCCTCAACCCTAGAGCCCTGGAGAAAAAGTCAAAACTGAGCTGGACCCAATGGATCTTCAAAGTCTGTGGCCCAGCTTAGAGACGGGGCCTGGGATTGCTGTAATGGATGCACTTGGGGTCTTTTCCCAAGGGTACTGCCCAGGGAAGGGCTCAGAATAAGGATCCAGCCCTCTGCTGTAGTCCATCTGGGGGAGGCGGGGGCAGGGGTCAGTGAGGACTGGCCTCACATGGGGATGGGTCTCATTGTTTGGGAAAGAGTGGAGGTCTCTGAACCTGGCCAGCGGAGCAGGGACAGGACTGGAGGCGGCCAGCGCTTTGTGAAGTTTCTGCCTCAGGCCCTGCGCCCCCGCACTCTGGTTGGAGATCTGGGGCACCCGGAAGAGCCTGAGTCACGCACCTCTGCTTCCCACAAGTGGAGAATTCCAGCGCTTCCCAAACGCTGGGGTGGCCGCTGGTGCCTGGCCGCTTCACGGTCACCTCCCGCATGCTGTCCTTGCCCAGGGACTGGGGCCCGGTCCTGCGCGGAGTTGCTGAGCTGGCGGTGGGCGAGCGCAGGAGACGGGTTGGTGCCCAGTTCACGCGCGGACAAGATGTCACGTCGGCTTCGTTTCTGAAGCTGCAAAAGGAGGCCATGGTCACCTTTAGAAAAGTTCGGGGGCAAAACTGAAACTCCCCAGACTGATTCCAATAATATTGGCAGGGAGCTTTCTAGCTTTGCTCGTACTTGGGCAAATGTGAGAACTTTGGAGGTGACTTCTCCCCAGGTCAGCCACGGTGTCAAAAGATGATGAACACCTCCCCAACCCCTACTGACTTCATTTAATACAATTTCCAGTGAGTACCAACAAACAGTGGAAATCAAACCATACGTTGAAATATTTGCTGTATTAAGTGTTCCAGAGGCATTCGAGTTCATTTTTGCAATAAACAGGAAGACATTTATTTACAAATATAATTGCCTTAGAAGAGCCGCATTCCATGAACTTAATTCATTCCTTTCTTTTCCTCCCTTTGGGAAGAGAAATTTTAGCTTTTAAAAAGATAGGTCTTGAGGGAGGAAAAGGAGAGTGGTTAGTTTACCAGTTCCTAGAAAAAGGAGCAGGGGTGTCCAGCAAATTCCTGTCTGCGGGGATGCCAAGCACTATAAAATAATCACTTACAAGATATGGAGGGGTGCTTCACCCCTTTCTTATTCTTCAAAAGATAAGTTTTTTGTTGTGGCTGTTATCACAAGAGCTGGCCAGTGGAAATGCACTATTAATATGTCCTTAGTTGGCGTGTTCTGTGCACATGTGAAAAAAACCCCTCAAATTTAAATAACTTGAGCCATTTGGAACTACATCACAATTTTATCTATAAAACTCACTTAGTTGCCACAGCTTTAGAAATGTCTGTAGTAATGCTCCTGCTGCCCTCCTTCCTGACAGGAGTTTTACCAAGGTGGATAAGATACCAGCTCTTGGCTTCCCAATCACCCGTATAAGCTGGTATCACTTACCTGGAGAACCTGAGTCTTGTCTTCTTCAATTCGGGAAGCTTTTTCTAAGTGAATCCCCTTCCCCTGAAAGTTAGGAGAAGAGCATTTTTTGGGGGGAGAGATTTGTCCAGGGAAAGGCAAAATCAACTGTGAATCTTGAGGTAAACCATTGAGTCAGGAATAAACATCAAAAGCACAAGATATACCTGAGGGGCTTTGTGAGTTCCCAATAAAAGACACATTTACAAATGACAAAAAAAAAAGATAACCATTGTCCATGTTTCTTTGTTGTAGCTATAAAATAATGTGGAGGAACTGAGAGGAAAGCAAAAACATCTTTTTAATATAAAAACAAAAGGACAAGGGATGTTCTGATGAAAAGCTTCCTGGGAGATCACACATTAGTTCTGTCCTCTAGGATTGCCTCTCTGCAGAAGGCAGCCCATTTAGTCGGTTGGAACATTGCATAGTGAAATACAGCAGATACTCATTTCAAAGAGCTCACCTTGTGCCAGCATTAGAGGTGCCAAACCTGCCACTGTCACTCTACCCAAGTTCAGACAAGGCTTCTTCCAGATGTGAATGGGGGCCAGGCAGGTTTGTTCCACTCTGACCCACCCTGTAAGAGTCTTAAAGGGAGAGTCTATTTTTTCTTTTACATTTGCAAGGTTGAAAACCCTCCAGCAGAGTTTAAAAATAAAGGTCTAATCAGAAAGTATAGTATCACCCAAAAACTATCAAAATGGAAAGAATGTCTTACTAGCTTAGTCTTGAGAATATGTAAGGAAAAACACATCAGTTAATAAAACAACATCTACAAAGTACATGTAATTCACATTTTTGGAGGAGAAATCTTTTACACTTGCTTAGGCAATCCTACAGATCAGGCTTTGTACTCTTCAAAGATTTCTTTCAAACAGGGCTTTAGAAATGTTTCAAACCAGAGAAATGTCATTAACTCTCCTGATAACTATTTAATAGTTGTCCTGGATATTTTTAACAAGAAGGATGCTAAGCAAGTAGCCTTGAGTCCAACAACATCTGGGAAATGAAGTGGTGGCACTAAAAGATTCTGAAAAGCCTGCAGCTAAAGTGGGCTTGCTGCCTTTCGGTAAGGAGGAGCTGTCAGAGGTCAGCACTATTTACATATATTCCTGATCCCTAAAGCTTTCCCCTGTTTATGGAAGCAGAGGGTCTGCCAGTGAGTGGTTAGAAGTGAAGGGAGAAAGACCCAAAGATGGATCAGTTACCTATCCCCTTTGTTCCTGGCTCTTGAACTGCAACATCAAGGAGGAAAATAAAAACCCTCCCCCTTGGGGAATGAGGCCTGCACCTCCATTTGCATTACCCTGACATCCCCACCTCACCCCACTGCAGTCGGAAACCCTCTTGCTAACTGATTTGGAGCAAAATTATGGTAACTTCAGGACTCTCTCTGTGTGTTACATAACATACAGAGATTCTGCACAGAGGTGCTCACACTTGATTTTTCTCCAAATGGCTTGTACAAACAGAAAGGCTAAGAAAGAAGGAATGAAGACAAATTAAATAGAAAAAACTGGGAAGATGTGCAGCTATAATATGATGACGCAGGTAAGCTTATGTGCATGAACACAGCCATTACTCGCACCTCCTGTGTGTCAGAGCATCTTCTTTTAAACATTTGCCTAGGGTTGTACTTTGGCTGTAGAGCAGTCAGACCTCAGTTGGGAGGTGAGGGGAGCAGTCCACCCCAGAACAGTGGGAGCTGGTTGCCCTGTAGCCAGTAGAAAGGAACCAACTGAGTTTGGAGATGTGTTACCCTCACCCTACTCATTCTGTTATAATCCTCCAGTCCTTACTGTGGGGAGGGAAGGTTACCCCCACCCATGTGCTCTGCTGTACCTGTCCTAGTCACCCCCATCTGTGTCTGTGGCCTGAGAGCTACTCATTCACTAGCAGCAGGAGTCTGCAGCAGCAGCAGCCTGAGGTCACATTCAGAAAGCTTTTTCTTCCAAGAGAACCTCACCCCAAAGGCAAAGGGAGTGTAAACCATGTTCACATGCCCCAACCTAGGGACAGGCATTTTGCTGGAGGGGATCTAGAGCAAGGAAGTTGATTTGAGCAGATTCCCTACCCAGATCTTCCCTGCTTTGGGATGTAGGGAGGATATGAGGGGAGGTGGAGAGGCCTGGGATGGGGAGCTGCTGAAGGAGTGCAGGCTGACAAAGCTGTAACAAAGGATTCATGCAAAAGTAGTACCAAGGATCTCTAAAGGACCCCACACCTTATAGGTGTGTCTCCGGCTCTCAGGACATAGAGTCTACTGATTGTTCCCCAGGGATCTGCACATGTGCCCAGGCTGTCAATGGTTCAGGGCTCACAGGTCGGCCTTGCAGCCTCAGACCCTCTGCTCCTGCAGGCCTCCTTGAGCATGAATGGTTGCACCTGAGTTCGTAGGGCCTTATCAGTGGCTGTTCCCCAGGCAGCCACCTAGTGAGGCAGCAGTCTTGCTGGGCTGCATACCTCACCTGAGGTTAGAACAGGAAAGTCATAGGCTGCCATCTGGCCTGAAGATGCAGACCCAGAAGCAGCCACAAGCCTTCCTGCGGGTGAGAGGAAGTTTGCTGGAGAAGTGGGGATCTGGTGAAGTCTGCCACCATGGCCTTTGCAGGGAAATCACAGAGGATGATGTGGAAAAGATGCCCCCAAGATGTGCCATTGGAGCTCTCAGAGCAACTAGTAGGGCATTTCCTCTGCCCTGTCCCCTAGGCTCTTCAAGGACCTTAGTTCCTCTGGACCCTCAACCTGGTATGCCCTGTCCCCCTGGCAGTGACCCAGCATCTGAGTGCAACCCCAGCCTCCAGCTGGTGGATAGGAGTTGGGCACTTCAGCACCTGGGAATAGGAAGATTGAGATCCAAGCAAGAGAGTAATTATTAAGTAGGTGGTGAGGGGAAACATCATTAATGATCCCTAACACAGCCCCACTGGGCTCCCTGAGGACTCTGGTGCAGCTTCCTTGGGCCTCTCAGAGTTGGTGGGAGAGTCATCAGTCTGGGAACTTGGGGACTGAGGAGTGGGGCTCAGTGGAGACATTTGCAGGAAGGATAAGTTCAGGGTCTGAATTCAGGACTAGAAGATGGAAGAACTCATCAGGCAGAGATATCCCTCCACCAGTGACAAATGGGGTAAAGAGGACAAAACTTTGGGAAGGGATTAGAAGTGGGTATAAATGTGGTTGGTGACTACCTGACACTGTCCTCTTTCTTTAATTCAACCCAGGAGACAGCCCCACAGAGTTTCTGTGACCACCAGCCAGGCTTTCTAGTTCCTGAACTGCTTGCTCAAAGCAGCCTGACAAAGCTGACTCAAACCCTCAGGCCAGGCCTGTAGATCCCTCCCCAACTCCTCCCACCCCTGCTTGCCTGGGCTGTGCTGGGGCTATAACCAGGACCTCAGCAAATGGCCTCTCCAGTGGGGCCTTCTCAGAAATTCCAGCCAGTCAGCCCAGCATGGCAGACAGGGCTGGGGGCTGTGGTGATGACACAAATGCCTTCTCCTGGCTACATACAAGTGCAAATGAGATGCATTTTGGCTGATCAGTCCACTGTATTTTATGCATCTTAATATGTCTACGTCTCGTCAACTCTTCTAGTCAGGAAGAATAGCAGAAATTTTTAAAAGAGTTTTTTTTGTGTGTGCGTGGCTTTCAACTGTAATTGCATCCAGGGAGATGGGGCGAGAGTGGAGACAGGAAGCCTTGCTCACACAAACAACCCTCCTAAACACAGCAACCTTAAGCCACAAAGACAAATGGAAAAAAAGATGGGGGTAGGCCATGGTTGCTGACAAGAGACCCTGAGGAAACTAGGTGGATTTTGGCTGGGAAAAGTTTAAATCCATAACATTTCTTTTTAAGAAGCAAAATTCATTTGTATTTACTTGGATAGGGGACAGACCAAACTCCTTCTCCCAGCTTACCTGACATCTTGAACAAAGTGTCAGGGTTACTTAGGGAGGGTCTCAGGGGTTCACCAGGAGGAAAGAGGTTTTCTGATACCATGGAGCCCCTATCTTGGCAGAGTTCGGGATCTCCTCTTCATATGTCAATTTCCAAAGGAGTTGTGAATGCAGGAAACATGCCTCCAACTCTCCCTACATCCCTTCACCAGGTTTCCTGAGAAAGCAAGTCCTCTCAGAAGTAGGTGATAAGGGCCTCTCTAAAGTAAAGGGTGGGGGAGGGGTGGCAGGTCTGAGAGACCAAAGGCCTCTGGTATTCTGCTCTGGACCACCTCCCGAAGTTCAGAAGGGCACTGCGGGGAGCTCTGGTCTTTTAACTCAGAGCCTGAGAACTGCCAGAGGACCGCCAGGGAGGACCACAGGGCCAGCTCCACCCTCTACCCCTACTCCTCTTCTCAGGTATTTGTTGTCTCAAGCTAGTCTACAACTGATCCAAGGAAGGGGAACAACTGATTTTTCTTAGCCCTGTTCCCAAGCCCTGCCTCTCTTCCCTCTTCCAGGCATAGTGGCAGGCAGGGTACAAACTACTGAGAGTTACTGGAGCTGAGTCCCAGGCTCTGCTCCCTCTTTCATGGGGTTCTCAGAGTCTGCAGGGAATTTGTTTTCAGGGTGCCTCTGGGTTCTTAAGGACAGGAGCCAATTTGTCGTTGACATACGAAGCTATTCTGTTAAGATCTGACTCTGGGGTTGGCTTCCCACTCCCAGAAACTGTAGTAGCTTTAAGGTCAGAAGGTCAGGATGCACAGTCTAATATAGGGCCAACAGCCTGCTAACAGCCTGGGCCAGGCAAAAGAGACATGTACCCAGGAAGCCACTGATGAAAGAAAAATCTAGGCCCATTTTATTTAGGTGGGGTTTTTCAGGTGAGGACACTCTTCAGGTGTCCAAAATTATTCCACCTGTGGTGTTATTTGTGCCATCCTATTACCTAGGGAGGATTCCTTCTCTGATGTGTGAGATGCCCTCACTGTGGAGCAATTAACTCTAACAGAATAGAATGAGGAGGGAGGTCATGTGCTTCACATCAAGGGTAGGGGCCACCCAGCACTCTGACACTATCCAAACTTTTACGCTGCTCAGCAGAGAAATTTGCTTGTCACACCAGCTCAGGTTTCTGCCATGCAGCCTGGGCATTTCCATACCAGCCTGGGAAATACATGAGAACCAGATGTGTGTTGCTGCTGTGGGCTTCCACCCAGAAGCCAAGGTGCTGGGGAGATGTCCCAAACAATACAGACTTAAAATTCATTGCCCCAACTCACCCAGTGTCCTGACAGGCACTATGAAGGGCTGAACTGTGGGCCAATGAACAGAGGTGACCTACACCAAGAGAACTGCCAGGTTCCCTAGCTGCCTGTGTCGTCATGGTGTCTGACCAGAGTCCCTGCAAGCTGCCCTCTGCTCTTTTCTTGCTGTGGATGCCAAAAGCAATTTACCCCCTCCTTCCATGTGTCCTCCTCCTTTTCTGTAACTGAGCATGGATTTCCATTTGGGAGAAGAAGGGGTGTCAGTAAAGATGAAGGGTGGTGTGGCAAACCATCTTCAGTAATAAATAAACCAAGCTGCAATAACCTTTACACACATAGACTATTCTCACTCACTTTTTCTTTTCAAGCAGTCATCCAGCCAATGTCCAAAAACATTTTAACCCACAAGCAAAAGGAAATTTTAAAACGGAGACCAAGTTCCTTTTTCTCCTTTGTTCTTGGGGTTGACCATCCCTCACTTTCTTACCTCCCAGCTATGCTGATATCCATACCCCATCTGAAGATTTAGAACACTTCCTTAAAATCTTTCAGTTTTCAGCACAACCAGACTAGCTGGAGGTAGAATGTACCCTCCCCAGCCCAATTCTCCATCCAAACCAAATATGTTGTAACTACCATCATCAATTACACTTTGCATACTTGACACTTCAGCAATGCAGACTCACTATTTACCAGAAGTAGCAATAAACTTTACTGAAAGAAAGAAATCCAACATTTACCATGGGATACCTACTAGAGAACTCTTTGAAAACATCATCCCTATCTTCTTACCTCCTTTATTGGGATGGAGGGCTATAAAAATCTGGGGTAGCAGAATTTTAAGAAGCTTGATTATCTTAAGCACTTTTGGAGTCCTCAACTCCAATCATTAGTAATAAAGTCATTAATAGTTATAATTAGTATTTAATTGCTTGATCTGATTGTTGCTTTATTCATGACCTGATTTAGTTTGGTAGGGTGTGTGGGGGGTGTAGTACAGGTGGTTCAGAATCAGTAAACGAAAGCCATTTGCAGACAATTCAAGCAGAAAGAAAAGTATTTTTGTTTTATTTGTAGATGTGTCTCACACATTTTTTCATGCTTTTTGTAAAACTATCTAAGAATAAACATTACCAATCTAGGTTTTAATTTATCTAAATGGGACCATAAAGTACCTAGGATGGATGGACACACACACACACACACACACACACACACGCACACACACACTATAGAATCGGGGAAAGCAGAAAAGAAACTCAGTGTGAAAGCAGTAATAACTGAACCGATGGTGGAATCGAATATCTGAGCAAATTCACTTTATTCCTTCGCAGGAAGAGGGTCAGCGGCGGCAAGAGAGTTTCCTGAATCCTTGAAGAGGGACACCACGAGGTGGGCCAAATCTTCCCACCAGCTGCCGCTCAGACCCTGGGTCTGTGCAACCTCTTTTCACAGATCACCAGCTCCCGTCGTCCCCCAACGCTCTCACATTCTTCTGCGCTCAGGATCAGCGTTTAACCCTGGCTCCCGTTTTCAAAACCTACCGGAGAACTTCCTCTGCAAGGGTGCCCTGAGCTCCTGTTTTCGCCCCCACCCCTCTCCTTGACCCCTGCTCTTCCTACTGGCCCCCCGGCGCTCTGGACTCACCCAGCGAGGTCCTTCCACTCCATACACGGACAGGAAACAGGCCTCCTTCGAGGCACCATTTGAAACCACCCTTTATCAATACCGTCAAAGCCAAGAGCGCACTTGTCGGGTTCTCAGCAACCGAGCCCGCTTCTTGCAGAAAACCGGGGAGAGGGGGCAGTAAGGGCGACAAATCCTCTAGCCAACCGCGACCTCAGTTTTCTTTTAGAAATGACGTCCACGGTCGCTCACCCGCAGTCTGGCCTGCTGGCCCCGATCCCACCCAGCCGGCCCGGGTTCTCGCCATAGCCAGCCAGTGTTGCCGCGCGCTCTCTGCGCTGGGGCCGCGGTGCGCGGGGACCGAGCTGGTGGGCTCCCCTCCGGCCGGCCGCACTCAGTATTAAATATTCATAGACATCGCTACTTTCTTAAAGGAGAACCTACCGCGCGGGAAAGTTCACAGCCAAGGGGATGCACAAAGGGAAGGTCTCCTCTCCTGCTTGATCTCGAGGCCTGGGAGAAGCAACCCCTCCGCGTGCAGTGCCCGCTCGGACTGACATTAAGGAAAGGACTTGGGGACCGGATCACTTTAGCTTCGTCACTTTTCTTGGAGGGTATGGAAGGAGTGATGAACTTGGTAAAGGAGAGAAAGCTCACTCCTTGATCCCTAAACAGTTCTTTTCAAACTAGCTGTCGAATCTGCTCGCTCCCCCATCCCTAAATAGCTATTTTCATACTAGCTGTCATATCAAAGGCCTTAGGGTCCCCAGGAGTTGTGTGTGTTTGTGTGCGTGTGTGTGCGTGCGTGCGTGTGTGTTAAAATAAGAGTCTGTTTGATGTTCCATCGGCACTGGGGACAGCAAGAAAGTTGGCCTGTGTTGTTTGAAGCCACTCACGAAGTTTAGCAAACCTTACCCTGAACAGCAGTGTCATTTAAATAGTGAAAGCAACAATCACACCCGCACCTGGCCCCTGCTCTTGAAAAGTGAGCCCCATTTGCGGCGGTAAGTCAGGGCGGAAAAAGGGACTGCAGTGTGCACATTGTCTTTGCCCCAGTTCTTTCCTCGGCTTGTCCCAGAGCCGTTCCTCTCCACGCCCGGAGGCCCCGCAGTCACGGGCAGCGGGAGTCCGCTTTTCCAGGCCGCGCCGGCGCCCGGCTTCTCCCGGAGGAGCACCGCCAGGGATCTTGGCTAGCAGGAGTGGGAAATGGGAGGGCAAAGACGAAAGTTCTGGGCTGGTCGGCGGTGCGGAGGCCTGCCCGAGAGCGAGTCCTCACCAGCGCTCACCGACCAGTGAGGCGGCCACGCGTGGTGTCAGCGCGATGCTGCAACCTCACAGTCACAAACACACTCACACTCGCGGTTCTTTTTGTTCCGGGCTAAGAGCACTTTCACAAATGGTTAGAAAGTCTTGGGCGCCATCTAACGGGAGCAGCACTAAGTTGGCGCAGAGTGGAGGTTAGGACCGGTGGGGGCATCGTGGAGGGACCTCTCCTCCACCCTCCTCTCAATCCCAGGCTTGTCACCAACCCCCAACACAGAACACACGCTCTCTGGGACACTTCCGAGTTCCCCAAAGTCCACCTTTCCAAGGGCCAGGAGCGGTGCCCACCTGCCCGCCAGGGACTGACACCTGCGCCCCTGCCCTTTCCTCCCTTCCACGTTCCCCCAGGCCACCAAAGAGGAGGACCGACTTGTCTTGCACCTGCCTTAATAGGGCCCTGGTGTTGTCCAAGCTCTCTCTTGTTCCTCTTAGCCTGTAATGGAAAGGCCCAAAGAGCACCGGATGAGGCCACTTGTTTTCCGAAAGGAGCAGTTACCTAATGAAGAGGTCTGGAGCCAAAAATCCTTGCAGAAGACCATGGACCCAACTGGAAGATTCGGTCCTGCAGTGGCTTCAGGAAGCCTCAGTGCCTCCTGGGAAGGAGGGATTGGGTTCTGAGGAGCTATCCTGGAAATTGGGAGTTGATATTAGGAGAAGCCTGACAAATGGTAACCTTGGAGTGGCCTCTGGATGGAAGAAGTGGATCCACCTACCCAGAAAGCGGACTGGCTTTCGATGAGACCCAGGACGTTCCTAAAGGTTCCAGGCCACTGTGAGGTCCAGTAGTCATGGGAGATTTAATCCCCATGGTCATTTCTGCAGATTCTGGGAAGTTAGCAGAAGGTCTGGTGTCTCTAACCAACTGGGAAACAAAGGTGAAAAGGGAGGACATATGCCAGTCAGGCCTAAACCACCCACTTCTCAGATCCCAACACCTGCCATCTGTATTGCTTGTTAACAAGTGGGTGACCTATCTCCATGCCTCCAGACTAAAGGCCAAAGGCAGAAAAAGCTGGTGGGCAGCTCCCTGGACATCCAGTGGTTGACCCTCGTGATGCCACTAGAGGTGCCTAGGCTTGGAGTCTAGATCCCAGGGGAAAGCAGTGGATCCCACCAGTCTAGGCCGAGAGTTGTTGAAGGACTGAGAGCCTTCCTGAGTTTGTAGAATGGAGATTAGATTACCTGTTCCTCCCTCAAGTATGTTCTGAGGTCTACATGAAAGCAGATATACACATTAATTTATTGTCATAAAAAACATAAAACTTACCATTTTAACCATTTTTAAGTGTATAGTTCAGTGGCATTATGTACATTCCCAATGCTGTACAGCCATCACCACCATCCATCCACAGAATATTTTCGTCTCCCAAAACTGAAACTCTGTACCTGTTAAACACCAACTCCCCAGTCCCACCTCGACAGCTCCTGGCAACCACCATCCTACTTTCTTTCTCTATAAGTTTGTCTATTCTTGGTACCTCATGTAAGTGGAATCCTACAGTATTTGTCATTTTGTGTCTGACTCCTTTCACTTTGTCAGCCTGTTAAGTTCATCATGTTATTGCATATGTCAGAATATCCCTCCTTTTCAAGGCCTAATAATATTCCATTGCATGTATATGCCACATTGTATTTATTCATTCATTCGTTGATGGGCACATGGGTTGTGTCTACCTTTAGGCTACTGTTAATGATGCTGCTATGAAAGTGATATACACACATCTTTTTGAGGCCCTATTTTTAATTCTTTTGGAAATATGCCCAGAAGTAGGATTGCTGGGTCATATGGTGAAACTGCATCTCATTTTTTGAGAAACTTCCATACCATTTTCCACAGTGGCTGCACCATTTTACATTCCCACCAGCAGTGCACAAGGGTTCTTCACATTCCCATCAACACTTGTTATTTTCCATTTTGTTTCTTTTTAAATAATAGCCTAATGGATATAAAGTGATACCCAATTGTGGTTTTGAAATAGTTTTTTTAAGTGTAAATATACAAACATAATGAAATAATACTAACAAGGCAAATTAGCCACAGGTTTTAGCAGAGTGGAAATACCTGACAATTACTTCAAATTTCTGATCTTTAATTTTTGAGTTCAGTTCTAGAGAGAAGGAAAAAGGAGAAGTGGCCAAGGTAGAGGGGCACTCTGAGCTAACACTATTTGATGATCATATTTTAGCCTCCCTTTCTAATTGTAAGCTGGAAAATAAAGGAGCTGTCATATAAGTGACCCCTATTCCTTTCTTTATGTCTAGAAGGAGACCAGAGAGTCAACTTCTCTTTAGAGGGGAGAGAAAAAAATTGTGCTTGTCTTTTTCCTGGATTGTTTGGTTTATTCCAATTGAAAGGTAAGCTACCATCCCAGACATGGACCATGTGGAATGGTGCAAATTTTTAAAGCTTTTTTTTCTAGAAAGGGGCTGAGAAATAGCAAGTGTATAAACGGGAAGGCTGCCACACTACCCCCGGAGTCCCCTGTTTTGGAAGCTATCTCACCATGTCACTTCACTTCTTTAAACGGCCTTATTTGGCCTTTATGTGTACTGTATTTAGCAAGTACTCTAATATCCTTTCTTCTTTTTTGTATCCCAGCCTGAGAAACAGGTTAGTTTCCTTTTTTTCCCACATTTTAAGTGAAAATATCCAGAGTGGGAACAAGATAATAAATGGAAAGGACTGTGGTGACAGGGTCATGGCTGAGGCTCCATGCCTGAGATATTCCTTGGCCCACTGAACCACACTGTTTCTTTCATCTGACAGGAGGGTTGGCACAGGACAGAGATGGGAGAAACCAGAGCAGCAAGCCTTGGCAGAGACTTCAACCTTCCTTCTGCCATGAGGCCAATTTTGCCACTTGCTGAACCACTGAAACTCAGAGGTGTTTCATTCTTCTGTGGTTCAGGAGTACGGAGGAAGGGGACTGGGAACCCCCTTTGGGAGGGGTTTTGTGCAGGCAGTTCCCAGTACCTCAGCTCCAGCACTGGCTGGCCCTCCCCTTTAATTGCTGCATCTGTTCCCCAGAGAGAAGGATAGACTGCACATCAGGAGCTCTGTAACTTAAGACAAGAAAAAAGCACTACTGTGGCACAGAGGCATACACAATCATTTCCTCTTCCCTTGGTAAAGCTACTTCCATATGAAAGAAGATGCAGAAGGATTACATTTTGGAGGAACTGGGGCCAGGAGACCTCTCAGCATTTTAAAAGGACTTCATAGTGTTTGGATCCAAGCCATTTGTTTCTAGAAAGAATGACGTTGGGTAGGAGCTTGTTCTTTCCATTTGCAATGGCTTATTAAGTATAAGCATCTCTCTTTTCTCTGTTTATTGAGTGATTAGCTCTACCTCCAACTGACCCTGCCATGGGAGACAGCCAAAGTGTATCCTTAAGAGGCAGTTACCCTGCAAAATGTCCTTCCTGCAAACCCAGAGACCAAAGACAGGCTCATGCTTAATTCTGGTGTTTTCTTTTCATAGTCTGTAATGAGGATCTCCACTGATGATACCGTGTGATAATACTAATGCCACCCTTATTTAAATGGTTTCAGTCCATTTATAGTGCAAAGGGGAAGGTAGAATCCAGCTGTGTCAGAGACAGGCCTGTGTTGCATACTCTGCACATGGCTTGGCTGGGATTCTTCAGCCTGGGGTTCAGTTGTCACCAAATCTTTTCTAAGTTATACAGTGACTCTTCCCACAGAAAACTGTCCTTCCTGCCCCTTTGGGACAGGACAAGGATGAAAGGAAGAGGTTCCTTCATATACCTGGATGAGGGCAGCTGAAAAATCTGGCAACTTCTAAGCTGCCAGTAAAGATGAACCAGATAGCAGCTGATTAGTAGCTGATTTGCCTGGCTGAACTGTCTGGGCTCTAATAGGTCAATTTAGTGTAGGGACAGACTGGCTACACTCGCAGATCCAGCCTTCATTGGCCGGATTCCAAAGGTCAGAGTGGAAACAAAATCATGTGATTTACCCAATTTCAGAGACTGAATTCAATTGTAGGATTTGGCCTGGAAATGAGGATGAATTATTGGCAACTAAGGTGGACTCTTTTTCTTCTCTGCCAGTTCCTTAACAGTGATATATTGGGAAGCCTAAGATATGTCATTGATATTTTTCTATAAATATTGTCTACCTGCATATATCATATGATAGACCATAAAGAAATAAACTATTTTCAACCTCCTCCACATTCTCAATGGCTGCTTGGTGTTTTTGCTCCATGCTATGCCTTTGTGATAAGGCTGCCCCCTTACTATTCCACAGTTAGAATTCATATGTAAGTGTTGTGTTCACTGTATAAATCTAGTATTATTTTACATTTGATAGAATACAGGACTGAAACAGATCTTGTGTATAGGAGTTGGCTTCTCATCTAAGGGTTGGGAGTATTCAATCTGCCAGTAACCCCATCCTTGCCATCTCCCAGTGAAATATAGACCACTCAGATCCCAGTACTGAGGAAGGGTTCTAGGTGCTGGTGCTGCATTTGTACTTATTGCTGGTGCCATTGATTTTGCCCCTGTCACTGTTCATGTAAGTCCAGTCTTGTTTCTTAGGTGGTGCCATCAAATTTGTTCTGATCTGTTGACCTCTGCATACCAAGCAATGGATGTCAGAGCCCAAAAGAGAAAGAAAACCTTTCCACTCTGCAAAGATAGACTTGCATGCTAATGTCAAGATTCACTACACTGTGTCCCAAGATTTGTGTGTGTCTTAATTCACACTGGAGCCCTAACCACAGTTCTATCTCCTCTGGGTATCCAGAACATCAGGTCCTAGAGGGCCACATGAGCTTGCATGAGGTAAAATTTGTATCTCAGGTGAGAGCAACTGAAAGAGGCAAGAAAGGTGATTTTTTTTGTTTCTTGTTAATTTGCTATTTGTTTTCTCCTTATTTTTTTCAAGTCTTTTTGAAAAAAATTACCTGTCTCAGCTAGGCCAATAGAAATATCCAGAAGCAAGATTTCCCCACATTTGGGCCAGAACATTAAAAGATATCTGCTTAGTCCTTTGGCAAGTAGAATGGGGCAGCAATCATGAAGTGAGGAACCCCCTGGGGAGGACAATGGGTCCTCCTTCTCACTGTGGAGACTCCTCCTGTCACTGTGACCTCTGTGCTTTGTTTGCATAGCAGAAATCCCATTACATGGCTGCTCTTGTTAAACCCATACCTACTGAGGGGTGCAGGTGAAGCATCCAGGTCACAGAAAATGAGTCACAGGAAGAGCACAATGTGTCCCTCTGAAGTAACAGTTTACCACATGATTCTTTGGCGGACAAGTTAAGGAATTTAACTAATAACTTCAAACTATACATTTATGTTAAAACCAACATGTATCTATTACATAGTAGCATACAAAATTACCATATAATTTAAACACCAAAACCAAGACTTCAGTGAATTTTGTGACTGGACATAGTTGTTTTGGACCAATACCTTCTTCTTCTTCTCGCCCAAGCACAGGCAGTTTCTTCTGACAGTGACATTTTGGTAGAAAATTGTGAGACTGCTACCTTAGAGCATATTTCCCCTCCTTTATGTGGTTGATATTTAAGTTTCAGGACATTATATTTTCAGATTCAGCCTCTTCACACCACATAGATAGATTTAGGGCCACCTGTTCACTCTGCAGCCAGGATGGAAAAGCTTCCCCCTGTCAGATTCTTTCTTTCATCCCTCCTAGTCCACAGTAATGCCCACCCCAACATTCAGGAGAAGAAAGCCTTCCCTTGGCTCCACTTTCAGGTTCTGTGCTTGGATGAAGTGCAGCCTGCCCAACAATAAACTCAGTGGGACT